GGGGCGCGCTGGGCTCGGAGCTGGGGAGCTTCTCCAGGTTGCCCGTCAGGCCACTGATGGGCGAGCTGCTCCCGCTGCCCAGGCTGCCGGGGACGGGAGGGACGCCGCCGTTCTGGATGACGGAGATCTCGTTGGCCTTCATGGCCAGCCCGTTGGAGAGCGCTGCCGCGTACTGGTTCCAGAAACTGGAAGGATCGCCGCTGCCCGACCGGGCCGCCAGGTCCTTCTGGAACATTTCGGGGAACTTGACGGGATTGCCTCCGAGGAATGTCATGGGGCCGTCCACAGAGAGCCGCCGGCCCCGCCGCGCGGGGGTGCTGTTCCACATGTGGGTGCCCATGTGGACCTGCAAGGGGAGAGAGCGAGAGGGAAAAAGAAAAAAAAGAGAGAAAGGAAGGGAGACGCTTAGTAGCTGAATCGGTGGCCACTCCCACCCCAACAACACTCAGCAAAGCCAGTGGCCGAAATGTCCGTTCTTATTACGTGCCAGACGGTGGACGAGGTAACGGGACCGTCCTCTCCGAAGACCGGTAATAACCCGTTCGCTCCCTGCGGCCGGGGCCGCCTCTCCTGTTCCCGGGAAAACGTGCCTCCCTTACTCCGTTTTTATTGCCCCCATTTCGCTTATAATGGCCTCCCGCGAGCCAGGTGGTCACGGAGAGCGCGGTCCAGGGTGAGAATTGTTATGTCCACTCTCATTGCAATGGTCAGGATTGTCTCTGACACCCTTTCCCCTAGACACGTCCTTTTCAGAGGGGGAGAGAGTAGCCCCCGCTGATGGAGGGCCCCGTGCACAGAGAGAAAACGCCAGAAAGTCATTATTTCTCCCGCACGGCTGGCAGCGATCTCTAGGGACATCCTCTGTCAACAGAAACTGTACACAGGGAGCATGCTCAACTGTTGCTCTAGATTCATGTAAGCATATCTGCCTGATTGCCAACACCTATCAGCAGGAAGTGTTGCCTCATCGATTATCATAATGCCCGCGAGCGGAGGGCTGACGCCACTGCGCCTGGAAAAACAAACCGTGCGGGCCTGCACGCTTATGAGCAGGAGATGCACGGCCCGCGGAGAGCTGCAATTATTAAGCGATCGGAGCAGCCCACAGGCCCGGTGGAGGCTTTAATCAATACCCCATGGCAACCGGGCTGTCTTCCCCGGTAGGTGAAGCCATTCATTTGGTGCACTTAACGAGACAAGGGAGGCGGGCCGCCGTTTCGCTCAGGTACCAAATGATTCGATGCACGGCGACCCTCCGCCAGCTGCAGCCCGGCCTGGTCCCGCCATGAGCCCCACCCACACAGCCACCACTTCAACGCTCTTCCGCAGATAGTACACGCGAAGGGCTTCTCCCCGGTGTGAGTCCGCTCGTGGATCTGCAGGGCGCTGGACGAGGAGAAGGTCTTGCCGCACGTGTTGCAGTAGTGTTGCTTGGGAGTTCTCCGGGGCAGGGCCGGCAGCAGCACCGGGGAC